CATGCATTCTGTTTTTTATCAGCACTTGAATGTGGGTAAGTTTCATAAAAAAAAAAAAAATTAAATTGAGCAAAAAGCTGAGAAAAAAATCCTTTTTGTCAAAGACTACGTCTGGATCGGATTCAGAACGATGATTAAAACATAGATGGAGAAGATAGAGTCCATCAACACCCCTAAAGCATCACAGTCCTACAGCTCGTCCTGGAATTTCATTCAGATTTTATTTAGGCTATGCTGTTTAATGTTGGTGATCATGTTATTTTACATATGATTGCATATGATATCGCTTGTTTCTGCATCTTCTTTGCATTTGTTTTGATCAGGAGATTACTTTCAGAAGATGCGTAATAGCGGCCCCTATACCGTATAACAGTGAAAACACGGAAAGACGGAAAAATTGCGTCAATGGCGGGGAAAAAGTTAAATTACATTTTAACACTGAGAAAAATTTGTACACCACTTATAACCACTGCATATTAATTAATTATTAACTAATAATTAATTATTATCTTAATTGTTATCTAACTAAAATGGCTGATCTTCTCCTGCTCCCTGACAATCATAGACTATACCCTATTGAACGGTTGGGAAATATAGGAAATTATGGCATTTCATTAAACATAAATATTGGCATCAACTGACCAGGCACACTTTAATAACACAGAAAAAGAATATGTTGTTTTTTTTCACTATCTTAAAAAAAAAAAAAATCAATAGAGAGATAAACAGACACAAAACTGACAGCCCCCCTCCCCACTTGTGTAGACCTTACCCAAAACAACAAAGATGCACTGAACGATAACACATCTCGTGCTGACAGATTCCAATTAGTTTATTGATTTACTCCAAGAGTTTAGTTAGTGCAAGGCAAACTGTCAGGATGCTCCGCTTCTGGTCGCTGCTTATCCACTGAGCCAGCTTCATCCAGCAGAGACGGCCGGCTGATCTTTACTGCATGCTTGACTCTCTCTCTTCCTTCCTTCTTTCCTTTCCTCCCTCTCGGTCTCTCTCTCTCTAGAATTGGCCATCTGCTTCTGTGACTGCGCCTGTAGAGCAGGGTCCGGCTGCTCCCTGATTAGCCTCACAGACACCGTGGAGCTCATCAGCTGAGAGAACAGACTTGCACTTTGCTGAGGGCCGCTGCGGCTTTGCTCTGCTGGGATTCACCTCTGTGCACCATGTGTCCACGGAGCTGCGATCCTGCAAGCTGTTACTCCACAGTCAGTTACAGGCTTGTACGGGGTCATAGCAGTTTACAATCATGATGTGAATTTCAAGATTGGATTTTAAGAATTGAACAATAACTTGTGCTGTACATGGCAATAGTTAAGTCACAAGCAAATAATAATAATAGTAATAAATATTTTTTTTTTATTATTTTTTTTATTATTATTATTGAGTTATGTGGAAAACAGAAATAATAATTCAATTCAATTTACGTTTATTTTCTATTTACGTATCATTTCAAAGCAGCTTTACAGAAAATGCATGTGTTACAATTTAGAGTGATCTGTTATCAGAGGTGACTGTGTCCTGTCCAAGTTATGGATTTCAGAAATGTACCTACATAAAAATAATCATGCACTTACCTAACAATATATTCATTTAAACAATGTATCAATTTAATGCAGAAACAATGAGCTCATTGAAGTAATGAGTGCATGTTGTTAACAAATGATTAGGATATAAAGAAAAATGTTGCATTGGTGCATGTTGATTCTCTCTCTGAAATAATAACAATTATATAATGTTTTTTGTTGTTGTTAATAGCAGTAGTTTTTCAGTTGTATTTCTGTATGATTGATGTTATTAATTATTATTATTATTATTGCCAACTTCCCATGTGAAATTCAGAAATACTTTAATGAAGAGATGGACCACCCATCAGAAAAGTAAAAAAAAAAAAAAAAAAAATGCAGTGTTCAAAATGGCGTCTATAGCAATGAAAGTCCGCCTTTCAAAGCACAGAGTTTGTTCACTCTAAAATGCCAGTCTGAAAAATACTGTTTTTATTATAGTGATTTAAGCAAATTGGTTTAAACCATGTTGGAAAGACTGAAATATCCAAAACTATTTAAGTCAACAAGAGCTTATGGCAAACTGCACACTTAGAAAATGAGGTGAGCGCCAACATTACAAAGATAGCCAGTAGCCAGAGTAAAATTGTGATAGTTCACAGTCTCACAGTCCCTTTCAGCTGCACAGAAGTCCTATATAACATAACCCACATTTAACGACACGGACTAATAAATAAAAAAATGCATTCTTCGGGGAAAGCACGGTCTCGCTTTCCACACTTCCTCCAATTACTCCATCTCAGTAAGTTCGGCCATGAGCTTTTCTGCTCCACAGGTTCTGTCATTCCCCACACCAACAGAAAGGAGAAAGCCTTCGTCGTTCCAAGCTTTGTCTCTGTCTAATTGGCTGGCACTATGACCCTGTGGGCTCAGAGGAAAACGGTGCCCTTAAAGCGGAGTACACAGTGTAGAATTATTGCTCTTAATCCTGGAGAATGGCCTCCACCACCACCAAACCTGCTGCAGTTAATTAAAGAGAAAGGCTGAAGTGCAGGCCTGGTGGCTCTGAGATAAGTGAGAGCAGGGAAGGACAAAGCTCAGCAGAGGGAGAGTTTTAAAGATTGTGGATGGAGATTGAGGTAATACTATTGTGGACGTGAGGATTCCAATTAACGTGAGGAGTTTACTCCAATGTGAGATTCATTTAGATGCACTGTAAAGATGTTGTTAAAAATCTTATATTACCAGGGAGGTAACTTAAAAAGGATTAGTTCACCCGACTCACCCTTGTATCATTCCGGACCAAAACGACTTTCTTTCGTGGAAGTTTCAATTCATGCACTGGCTATTCTTTAAGCAATTATGGGGACTAAAACGCACCATAAAAGATTTTTAAATGTAAAATATAATTATTTTGATGTCACGCGTTAGCTTGGTGCGAGAAATCGAATTTAAGTTCCTCTCTAGTAAGCTATTAACCCAAACGCTGAATCAGCAAGAACCAGATCTGTCTGATCTGTGAACGAATCATTTTGTAAACTCAATCTGATTCCTTGCAAAGATCCGATTCAAAAGAGTTAACTATTCACAAATTGGACATTTGTCATGAACTTTCAACTTGTGTTCCAAAGAAAAAGAAAGTCATAAGCGTTTGGAACGGCATGAGGGTGATTCAATTTATGGCAATTTTCATTCATGGCTGAACTATTCCTTTAAAAAATAAATTTCATTTATAAGTTGTACTTGCACAGTTTGAAGATGTACACGCTAGAGGCCAAAAACACACTTTGGCTATTGTTGTTTTCTAATATAATTAAAGCAAGCGTATAATCATAATCATATTTCAGGCCTTTTTCCCGAGTGTAATAGCAATTTTCTTCCATTTTACAGGACTGTCAGATATTGGCTAAATTATGCATGGCAGCACAATTAAAGCAGATGTGAGTCTCAATGAAACAGAGAAAACGAGTTCTCCATATTTACATGCAAATATAAACTAGTGGAATGTATCCAGTTATAACTCTGTAATGCAGACATAAAATTAATCTTGGCATATCCATTCTTTTCAGAAACAGAAGATTGTGTGGCCTGTATAATATACACTGGGGGCTAAATTATTTGGACAGCATCCTTTTAAAAATAATGATACAAACACACTGGTCTTGTCATTTCTGTGGAACTTACCACAATGGGAAAAAAAAATCTTACAGGGAACCATTACACACTTTCATTATATCTCGTATTTAAGTCTTTCACTAGATTACTTCTAAAAAGAATGAGTGTTATCCACTATAGAATGAGTGTTATCCACTATATTTGTAATAAATAAAAAACTTGCCCCAGATGACATTGTTGTGCTAACTATTTCATATATTTATGAATCTGTGAAATGCACTTTCTTTTAGAGAATTAAAAAATCCGTACTGTATATGTAAGCATTATGTGAACTCAGTCGCCACTGTGAGCCAGCAGCACGAACCCTTTAAACACTTTCCACTGGCTGATTTTCCCCCATTTAAAGGCTCCCTCTGGGCAGTAATACCCCTAATAAGAATACTACAGCCTGCTGTACATTTGTGTTTACTTGTAGGAAGCATTATTAGCCTGTAATTTAGCCACTGCTGACATGCTATTATTTACACAGTCATACAATGCATGATAGACCCCTTGTGTTTTAATATGATTTTTTTTTTTTTAATGCATTTTAAACAACGGCAGCTCTCTAAACTTTTAACTTTTACTTATTTATGAAAATAGCTTTGGCGTCCTGCTGTAAGGCAGTCAGAATAAAAAGAAAATTGCGACTTTATTGATACTTTACATATCCCAATTGTAACTTTATAAGTCGTAATGTAATTTTACACATCACAATGTGACTTTACATGTCACAGTATGACTAATTTAAATTTCGCAGCTGCAACTTTTTATCTCACAATATGACTTTCTTATTCTACAATTTACCTCACAATTACGCTTTTTATTCTTTACTCAGAGGCGGAAAATATGCTTATACTGCAGAGACATACGTCAAACTTGGACAAGTGTGTGGTTTTGTGAACAATAAGAAAATTAACAGTTTTAAAAAAGCAATGCACTTCTAACTTAATGTAATCAATATAATTGAATATTCAGGACATTGTACAAAAAAATACCATTGCCTTTGAGATTATGACCCAAGTGAAATAATGAGCACTCTGACAGGAAACGCATATATAATCTCATTTGAAAAAGAAGTTCATGACAAGTTCTGAAATCACAGCACTCAATTTTAAATTACTACCCATGAAGGCCACCCACTGACTGTGCGGAAGTAAGCAGCTTCAATTATAAATGCATAAATGCCGAGAGGATCGTACGTGCACAACCATGAGTATAAGGCACTTTTCATCATCAACATGCTTAGCTCTTGTTAAAAGCAGAAATGATTCTCTAATTTTTGAGCCTGTGATCACTGAATCCTTTATCCTCTATGTTTATACTCACCTTGACAGAGATCTTCCCCTCATCCTTTGGTAAGTGTGCAGCCAGGAACCAGTCTCCAGGGAGCGGGCTGGTGACATTGAAAACTCCTGTGGTGCGGTTGGGCAGCGTCCATGTCAAAGTGACAGCGAAGGAGCCTGGTATGATGGTGTCCTTTGGAAATCGTGTCTGGAGGGGGTTGATTACAGGTGGAGCTCCTGACCTGAAGTACCTGTAAACAAAAGAGAAGGTTACATTTCAAAACAAGCTGTGGACTGTTTCCTTGGATGAGACCAAATGCAACTGAGACTGTCATCATTTACGTTCCAGTGTGATGCAAATGAGGCTTGAATTTCCTATTAAAGCTGGCAAAAAACAGACCTACAAAAATAATGACTGTTTTCAAACACTCGGACATTAGTCTGTCAAACAGATAATCCCTGACTCACGCCACTGGATAAGATTGTGTTCAGTGCATCTGGCATTCTCAAAAAAACAAAAGGCGATTCAGTTTGGTGCCACTAGTGGTGCAGAAATTACACAATTTACCTTAAAGTTGTCATAAACATAAGGTAGTAAAAGTCCTTCTCCACAAGGATAGTAAAACCGAAAATCACCTAGAGTGAGGAGACCAGCTGACGAACCCCATAAGGAAATTACTTAAAGCTACAATATGTAATGTTTTTTTCCAAGGGGGTAATCCATCAGCCGGAAACTGAAGCTACCCTGGGGGCCGCCATTGGCTAGCAAGTCTTCACCTGCTGTTAGCATTCCATTGACTCCCATTCATTTTGGCGTCACTTTGACAGCGAATAACTTTACATCTGAGGTGTTTAAAGACTCCATTTGTCCATTATTTTTTTCTAAAGAAACACGACAATGTATAAAAGGCTCCATTACCTTGTATCTTACGTTATGGCCACATAGAAGCAGTTTTTGTAAAAATAGGCTAACGATTGCGTCATAACAAGCGACTCTGTCACTGTTACGAAGCATAGGAGACGTTCAGATCCAAGTGCAGCTTGTCCTTTATTTAACAGAGTAGTCACCAGGCAAGGGTCAAACACCAGCAAACACAGCAGAGAAGATCAGGCAAAATCGTGGTCAGTAAACAGGCAGGATATCAGGGCAGGCAGCAAACAGGAAGGATACAGGAACCAGGCAGAAGATCAGGAACAGACAAGGTCAAAACAGGCAGGAATATACATGGGAAAACGCTTGGAAATGTTCGCAGCAGCAAAACAAGACTTCGCGGTGAGTGAATGAATGAGCATGGTATATATGGACTGAGACTAACAGGATGATGACACACAGGTGAATGCAATCAGAGAATGAGGTACAGGTGATTGTGATCAGTGATGAGTCCGGGCAGTGAGTTATGGGAAATGTAGTCTGTGAGTGAACGTGAGAGTCTGATGTGGAGTCCCCTCTGGTGGCTCTCAAGGGCACTCCAGCTGGTAACCGTTACATAGCCCCCCCTTTAAGGAGCGGATTCCAGACGCTCCTCAAATTGTCCAGGAGGGAGGTGGAGCGGAGGCGGACCTGGGGGCGGGATGGAGGGCCAGGCCCATGGAGCGGAAGAGGACCTGGAGACTGCGGCAAGACTGGAGACCAGGGCGGAGCAGGCAGTGCAGGCGACCAGGGCGGAGCAGGCTGTGCAGGCGACCAGGGCGGAGCAGGCTGTGCAGGCGACCAGGGCGGAGCAGGCTGTGCAGGCGACCAGGGCGGAGCAGGCTGTGCAGGCGACCAGGGCGGAGCAGGCTGTGCAGGCGACCAGGGCGGAGCAGGCTGTGCAGGCGACCAGGGCGGAGCAGGCTGTGCAGGCGACCAGGGCAGAGCAGGCTGTGCAGGCGACCAGGGCGGAGCAGACAGTCCATCGGGCGGCCAGGGCGGAGCAGACAGTCCATCGGGCGGCCCAGGCGGTGAAGACCCTTCGGGCGGCCACAGCGGTGAAGACCCTTCGGGCGGTGAAGACCCTTTGGGCGGCCACGGCGGTGAAGACCCCTCGGGCGGCCACGGCGGTGAAGACCCCTCGGGCGGCCACGGCGGTGAAGACCCCTCGGGCGGCCACGGCGGTGAAGACCCCTCGGGCGGCCACGGCGGTGAAGACCCCTCGGGCGGCCACGGCGCAGGAACAGGCACCGGCTGAGGAACAGACACCGGCTCAGGAACTGGAACAGACTCTGGCTCTGGCTCAGGAACAGGAACAGACTCTGTGACGACGGCCATCTTGTCCGTAGACACTGGCTCGGAGGCGGCCATCTTGTCCGTAGACACTGGCTCGGAGGCGGCCATCTTGTCCGTAGACACTGGCGTGGAGTCGGCCATCTTGTCCGAAGACACAGGCGTGGAGTCGGCCATCTTGTCTGAAGACACAGGATCAGGATCAGGCTCAGGATCAGGATCAAGATTGGCAGAAGTGATGTGAAGCTCAGTCGCTGGATCGGCAGAAGTGACGTGAAGCTCAGTCTCTGGATCGGCAGAAGTGACGTGAAGCTCAGTCTCTGGATCGGCAGAAGTGACGTGAAGCTCAGTCTCTGGATCGGCAGAAGTGACGTGAAGCTCAGTCTCTGGATCGGCAGAAGTGACGTGAAGCTCAGTCTCTGGATCGGCAGAAGTGACGTGAAGCTCAGTCTCTGGATCGGCAGAAGTGACGTGAAGCTCAGTCTCTGGATCGGCAGAAGTGACGTGAAGCTCAGTCTCTGGATCGGCAGAAGTGACGTGAAGCTCAGTCTCTTGCTCGGCGGTCTCTGGCGGGACGGTCTCTGCAGGATGAGACTCTGGCTGGACGGTCTCGGCAGGACGAGACCCTGAAACAATGGCCCTCTTGGCACCACGTGCAGACATCAGCGGGGAATCTGCCACGCTGGAAACCAGTCCTGGGCGGCCATAGACCGATCTGGTGGCAGGCTTTATGGTTGGTGTGACGTGGAGAAACTCAGGCTCGTCGTGGCTGACGTGAAACTCAGGCTGAGGGGATACTGTGGGTTCACGGAGTTCCTCATCTACCACACCCACCGTATACACTGAACCGCTTAACAGAAGGGCCAGTTCAATATAGCTCTCTAATGTCCCGTGAGGGTCATGCAAGGGCATGAATGAACTGAGCGGTTTAGATAGTCCTCCTCGGAAAAAGATCATCTGGCACTCTGTGTTCATTGAGGTGAGATGTGCCAGTTCAATAAACTCCGCGACATAGTCTTCAATGGACCGATTCTCCTGACGGAGACGCATGATTTGGACGTCTGGACTCATAGTTGGCATCGCTGCTGGATCTCGGTGTGGCGAAGTCTTCTGTTACGAAGCATAGGAGACGTTCAGATCCAAGTGCAGCTTGTCCTTTATTTAACAGAGTAGTCACCAGGCAAGGGTCAAACACCAGCAAACACAGCAGAGAAGATCAGGCAAAATCGTGGTCAGTAAACAGGCAGGATATCAGGGCAGGCAGCAAACAGGAAGGATACAGGAACCAGGCAGAAGATCAGGAACAGACAAGGTCAAAACAGGCAGGAATATACATGGGAAAACGCTTGGAAATGTTCGCAGCAGCAAAACAAGACTTCGCGGTGAGTGAATGAATGAGCATGGTATATATGGACTGAGACTAACAGGATGATGACACACAGGTGAATGCAATCAGAGAATGAGGTACAGGTGATTGTGATCAGTGATGAGTCCGGGCAGTGAGTTATGGGAAATGTAGTCTGTGAGTGAACGTGAGAGTCTGATGTGGAGTCCCCTCTGGTGGCTCTCAAGGGCACTCCAGCTGGTAACCGTTACAGTCACACAGTAGAGAAATTACCGTATAGACAGGAGGAGAAGCTCGCTGGCAATCGGGGGGACGTGGAGGCATAAAGTCAAGGGAGAAGCCCATAGAGAGTCAAAGTTGCTCCTGTTGTTAGCTCATGGACAGCTAATACTCACGCTCTCCGTCTCTGCAAGATTCGAAAGGGAATGATTCAGATTCCTCTTGGCACAGCTACTAGAAGACTTACAACTGTCAGACAGGTTGCTCATGTCACATCTACGTCGTCAAGCTCAGTTTGAGCCTGCGCAGTGCGCTCAGCCATCAGGAAGTGAGTGCTTCTAATTGACTTCACTTTTCTCCGTTGAAGTCTATGGGGTCGCTGTGTCCATTTCTTTTACTCTCTATGGTATTTTGCCGCTAGAGGTCACTAACCTCTTACAATAACAAAGGCGTAGGTTGTGAATACATTGATGTTTGACAAATGAGACACAGATAAGAGCGTCACACGCGAGTCCCGCGGATATAAAGCATTGAGGACATTTCATTCTACCGAACTAACGTCACACGCAAGTGCTGAATTACTACTCACACAGGTCAGTTTATTTGACGAATTAAACTTGTGAGGTAACGCAGTGCTGTTTCACTTGGTCTAACGTTACACTATCATACTACATACTGCATTTGAGTGTGTTGAAAGTTATAATGTTATTATATGTGTTATGTGTTAGTTTGTTGGCTGTATGAGACTAGCAGTAAGCTAGATCAACATTAAAACAACATACTGATCATATTCTAACATTTCATCATGTTGAGAAGAGCTATAGCCTATAATATTGATTTGTTTTATACATTTGCTCACCTGTTTAATAAAGTACATGCAAGAGCAGCATCTCTGTCAAGTCTAAGTTTGTCACGCGGCATCGCGAAAACGCCATGCCGATATTGATCCTCGTTTTATTTCTGCTTTTGTCCCAAAGTCTGCTTGCCATGGTCCAAAATATTTGAACGAAAACAACAGCAGCGTGAGCGTGCCACTTGACGTAGCGCAGTTGTCCACGTCTGTCGCCATGGTTACTATGCTGCCCTACAAAGCAAAAAGGCAGTAACTACGCAGAGTGCAGAACTGAGAAAAATGACTTTAAAGTTATCCTGTCATAGATTTTTGGACATGTGGCTGTTTTGTTACTTTATATTAGCTTATTCTTTGTACATATCAATCAGTAACAACAGGATAACAGGATGACAGGATAACTTTAAAGTCATTTTTCTCAGTTCTGCACTCTGCGTAGTTACTGCCTTTTTGCTTTGTAGGGCAGTATGGCAGTACAAGCCAAAACCAGGGATAGCGCAGATATTACGTCATTGACAGGCGACAATGACCAGGGACGAGCCATTATTTAAAAATGGAATTTCTCTGAAATTAAAAATCTTTGGGAACTTTTGGGATATTGTCAGTAGACAACTGCAGGATATATATCACACTG